AAAAATGGCTCCACAGCATGTAAACATATAATATAAGCTCTGGCGGACTTGGTTCTATGGTCGGTCTTAAAGGGTCAATCCGAGGCTCACAGATAACAGGAAGCAGGTTAGATGATCTGGTACATCACACACGTTCATGCAAACACCTTTTCTTTTTCTTTTAAAGTCCACACAGAGCTTTTAGATTGCCCACATGGTTTATGCTGTTTTGGAAATCAATCATCTTCGCCTGTTTTTCTTCTTCTTTGATCAATAAGAGGAGCAGGCTGGTTTTGTCTCCTCAGGTGATCGAAGACACTTTGTGTCACTAAAGCAGCAGCGTTGAACACTTTCACTGCGTCGTGTAGATGAACTGATGACGTGTTTGTTTCTCTGTGCAGGAGACCTGAACTGCATCGCGGGGGCGACGTCCCGTAACGGAGCATTCATCTGGGACGTCAGGAAAGGAAAGATCATCACTCGCTTCAACGAGGTGAGTAGGGCGCCCCCGTGCGTCTGAACCCGATCACACGATGCACAGCGTGATGCGTCTGTCTGTCTTCCTCCAGCACGGTAAAAACGGCATTTTCTGCATTTCCTGGAGCCACAAGGATTCAAAGCGGATCGCCACCTGCAGCGGAGACGGATTCTGGTGAGCGCTTCCTCTTCTCTCCCGACGACGGCGTCACGTTTGTCCTTTGCAGTGATTCATGTTTTTGTTGTTGTTGTGGCGACAGCATCATCCGGACCATCGACGGTAAAATCCTGCACAAGTACAAACACCCCGCCGCTGTGTTCGGCTGCGACTGGAGCCAGAACAACAAGTAAGACCTGCATCCACATCGTTGGGCTTCACTCGAATCATGTAAGCAACATGGTAGGATGTCACAGCCGGGGCTGTTTGGAGGTTATCCAGGCACAAAACGTGTCACCCAGCGGCTCGTTGATATGAACAGTTTAAGCCTCCTGCTCACCAGCTCTGTGAGTCCGATGAGTTTATGGTCCCAGTCTGTGGTTTCAAGTCTCATGAAGAAGACATGATGTTCTTCTAAGTTCCTCTGTAGTGTCAAAAATCAGC